CAGTACATATTCAGTAGTATACATTTTGGTTACACTTTTTTTAAGGTGTCCTTTTTATAGTACATATAAGTACTGAGTAATATTAATAAACTACATGTACTTACTATATGATAGGGTTATGATTAGGGTTTGGCTTAGGGTTAGTTGCATGTAATTATGCATAATTAATTGTTATTATTATTTTTAAAAATACATTTTTAACTGTCTTATTACACTACATCCATGAAAATGTATTTGCTTGTAATTTATTCTCAGTTCCATTGTGATGTTGTCTTAAAATCTGTGGACAATTTTTTTTTTCTTTTTTTTTTTTAAGTAATTAGACATCTGTCCGGACTTGGGGTTTGGTTCTCAGGAACACTTTATCAACAGGACATCTCATGGGTCACACTAACCAGAGAGCTGGTAGGAGAGATTCATATTGAAACAATTAAAAAAGAATCCTGTGCCACCAAAAACAGAAACTAATCAGGAACTCTGCCTGAAATTTATTCCAGGCGCAAATTCGGAAGTCCCTTTACAGTTCAGAATCAGACCCTGCTGAAAGGACAGATGAGACCATAAACCCAATTGTCTCTATTTGAAGCATTTTGTCAGCTCATGTCTGTATCTGAAGCGCACACACACACACACACACACACACTGAGTGGGCCTGAACTGGTGTGGTGCACTAAATCAGGGCAACATAGCAGGTGTTTGACTCTCATTCTTGATGATCCTCTTCTCTGGAAAGTGCTCTAACTCATCATCTCACATGCTGCTTTATTTGAGTTGCGTCTAAACAGAAAACTGCTGTGGTTTCATCCTGACACGGTGGGCAGTTGAACTGAGCTGTGTAATTATTATAGGACTGACCACATGGATAGTAACATACTGTACTGTGATGTCAATATTTCATTTAAGAGAGACCAACGCTTTTCTGTCGTCCTTTAAAATTAAAAACCACTCTTGAAAATGGCTCTAAATATATCCGATTTGGTTTTTAAGTTGTATGACTAGCAAAATAGAAACAAATCAATAGATTTGTTGAAAGATTCTACAATAAAATAGAAGCCTAGTGCAGGAAAAAAAAGCAATTCAGATTAGTGAAACATGATTCTAAAGTTACCTTCTATTAATATCGTTAAATAATTTGTTTTATTAAAATACCATTAAAGACAGATTCTGTCTTTACTTTAGATCTGGAGATCTAACTAATAAATGTATTATCGTTGCTATGCTAAAATGTTACAAATCATATTCAATAATAATAAGAATGTCATTGCATTATTATAAATCATTGATCAAATGAGAGCATTTGCTAAATGAATAATTTGACACGTGTAATTATCGAATTTGAAGCTAGTCTTGTTACATGAAATTTGCTGTCCTTATTCCGTATAACACTTTATATATGCGTATCTCCTAAATTCAGAATAATCGAAGACAATAAACACGTGTTCAGTTGGTTCTGAATGGTGATAATTATCGGCTGTGATACTCTCATTATTGTCGCTATTGATGAGGATCCCCGAGGTTGATTGCGAATGTCATTTGAAATACAGATGGCTTTAAATTGGACTATTTGGAGGAAGGTGGACATCTAACAGGTATTTGTCAAATGTGGTCGTCAGTCCATATCATGTGCGCATCGTGTTGGTGCCAGTGACATTTTTGTGCAATATTCTGGAGTTTTTCTTGTCCGAGGTTTTTCTGACTTCACTGTATTTTATTATGACGGGATGTGCGTGAACACATGTGGAGATCATGACCATTTCGAGGAAGACTGGGGAAAAGAGAGATGGTGTCGCACACAAACGGTACCGGTCTCCTTCTCTTCTGCGTCTTGTGAAAGCACACACACACACACACACACACACTGAGTGGGCCTGAACTGGTGTGGTGCACTAAATCAGGGCAACATAGCAGGTGTTTGACTCTCATTCTTGATGATCCTCTTCTCTGGAAAGTGCTCTAACTCATCATCTCACATGCTGCTTTATTTGAGTTGCGTCTAAACAGAAAACTGCTGTGGTTTCATCCTGACACGGTGGGCAGTATAATTATTAAGAGACTGACCACATGGAGAGTAAGATACTGTTCTGCGATATCAATATCTCATGTAATAGAGACCAGCGTTTTTCGGTTCTCCTTTAATTAAAACCACTCTTGAAAATGGTTCTAAATAGTTCCAGATTTGTTGTACGGATAACAGAACCTTTTGGTGCTAAACAGATATATATATATATTTTTTAATTCTATAATAAAACAGGAGCTTAGTGCAAAGGGAGAAAAGCAGTTCAGCATACAAAACATACATCTTTAGTTAACTATCAAGTCATTTGGAAGAGGACCTTCCTTTTTAGCGTTTTATTAATATACCATTTTGCCGATTTCCCACGTCGATTCTGATGTCTTTCCTTTAGATCTGGAGATCTAATTCATGAATGTATTATTGTTGCTTATACTAAGATGCTACACATTATATCCATTAATAATAATACTAATAATAATGTGTTTGCGTTATTACGAACGATTGATAATATGAGAGCAAATCCAATTGTTCACGTTTGGGAATATGTGTAGCCTAGTTATCAAAAATATTGAAGCTATAGTTTTGTTTGTTCTACGTGAAATTTGCTGTCCTTATTTATAACACTTTATGTGCATCTTATAAATTTAGATGAAGGCAACAAACACGTGGAACTTGTTCAGTGCGTTCTGAATGATATAATTATCGGCTGTAATACTCTCACTATTTTCGCTACTGATGAAGGATCCCCGAGGTAGATTGCGAATGTCATTTGAAATACAAATCGCTTTAGATTGGACAGTTTTTAGGATGGTGGATATCTAACAGGTATTTGTCAGACGTGGTTCTCAGTCCATATCATCCGCGCATCGTGTTGGTGCCAGTGACATTTTTCTTTGTTTTTCTTATTCCAGGTTTTTCTGATTTCACTGTATTTTACTATGAGTGAACACATGTGGAGATTATGAGCATTTCGAGGAAGACTGGGGGAAAAGAAGACCGCAGAGACTGAGAAAGAGAGATGGAAACGAGAGGAGGATGTGGAGGTGTGATCCGTGTTCAACTGGGAGTCGCACACAAACGGTACCGATCTCATTCTCTTCTGCTTCGTGTGAAAATGAGCGCTTTATTTTTCTCTTCACGTTTCTATTGCAATTTTTGTTAGCTTTAAAACGGATAGAACATCAGCTCGCATTACTCTCGAATATCTAACCAAAACGTTTGATTGAATTGCTGTGTCGTTTTGCTCTGTCATGAAACATGCTTCTGGAAAAGCTACACATGGGAGAAATGTTACAATCGGTTACAGCTGTTTCAGTCTTTTTATGCGTCGCCGTTTATAATTGTACACCAATATTTTAATGTCACAGTTATCACATTTATCCAAACCGTACCGAAATGATGATTGTTCTTTAAAAAGGTTTGACAGATTATAAATAAGCAACATTATTTAAATAATGAAATCGGGAAGCAAAGAATAAGGCCCATGTTCAGTTGAATGGCAGGCAGATAACTCTGCTCCACAATTTCCAAATGTAGTGGTAAAATGTATTTGAATTCATTAGCCAAATAATTAATATCAAAACGATTAGATGATTTTTAACTTTGGTGTTTTTGTCGGATATACAGTTTTAATTAGGCTACGCAACCACGATTTTTTTTCTTTGGGGAAAAAAGCTATTTTAAAGATTTTCAGTGGTTCAGTAAGTAGATAAATGTACTTTTGAGTTTATTCGATCTAAAGTGAAATTGTGTTTTATTGTTGTGATATTAGTAGACGTGGAAGAATGCAGTGCAAACTTATAAATGCAGGTAAACGTGGAATCAATATTTTACCTAGGTGTAGATGTGTTAGTTGTTTATTTGTTTTCATGTTTTTTTTATTTAATTTTATTTATTTACCGTTTCCTGCATCATTGGGCCTGCCACATGTGGATTAATCGCACTTAAGGTTCATATCTAAAAACTAAAATCTACAATAACGGTACAATATCAACCAAAAACACTGCAACGTCAACCAAATCCAGAACTGAAAGGAATTCACCAAATAACAGGAGCTGTTATCAACACCGACCTGTTTCTCTGATCCCCACGCGCAATAATTCAACCCACGCGCGCGCGAGTAATGTGGGTCTGCACAACACTGCAAGTGTTAAATACACAGCTAATTATGCGTATGAAAATTAAACAACAGTGTTATGCTAATTTAGCTGGTTTCAGCTGTGTCTTCGAGCACTTGAGACTAGCATTTTAACCAAATGAATCATCAAAGTAATTCATCTTTGCTTGGAGACATTTATACATGTACTTAATCATATTTGTTCGGTGTTAAATGCTGTGTTCAAGAAGCCGTGACCAGCAGAAAATTCAGGAGCATGCTAAACTTGATCATCAAATCGACCTTTTTTCTTTTTTATGTCATAGAATTGTGTTTGTTGTTGTGACTTATTTATTTGTAAATTGTTCAATAAATCAATATAATAATAATAAGGCCATGGCATGATCATGTGAAACCAAACTGTTACTGAAAGAACATGTTTGTTCAGTTCTGTTGATTCATTTTAATGCCCAGTATTATTTCTGTGTTAAATAACAAAACCAAATTTCAAAACCGAATCTCAAAATATGATGATGATATTTTGCATTGTGTGTGGTCAGATTTGTGGTTCGGCAGGAAGGTGTTTGAGCCCTCCGCATAGCCTACGGCCTATGTGTCTCGGTCCATTCCCTAAACTTCTACATTAGCATTGCACAATAGAGTCACAGGTTGGTCTTATTTCTTGAGTTTATCAGGTCCGTCGGACCCGACCCTCGGATTACCAATCCGCGTCGCTCTTGGAGGGAGTGGACCAATCAGAGAGCACCTTGGATAAATATTCATGATCCCCTGATTCAAACCTTTGAGCGAGTTTGCGTGGATCCACAGCATCGTACCTAGACTTTTCACAGAGACAAACTACATTTTCTTATGAATGGAAAGTGAAAAAATCAGTGGAGCTTAAATTGGGATCCATCCTTCACTCGGATCATAGAAGAAAACAAAAAAGCAGGGAGAGAGAGAGCGAGAGACATGACCATGTCTACAATACCAGAGAGTCTAAACAGCCCAGTCTCAGGAAAGAACGTGTTCATGGAATTTGGGCCACCGAGTCAGCAAATGTCGCCTTCATCCATGAGCCACGGACATTATTCAATGCACTGTTTACACTCCTCCGGACACCCGCAGCACGACAGCGCATACAGCCCGGCTCCGTCCTTCCCCAGATCTCTGCCTTATCCATACGTCAACTCGGTCGGTAGCCATTCCTCCAGTCCGTACCTCAGCACCGTGCAGACTTACCCAAACAACTCGGCTTTGGCGCAGACCAGACTGGAGGACCCAGGTAAGAAATGCTGCGTGCATGTCTTTGGTCTTCGCTGGTCGTTGCGTTTGTCGGCACGCTGCGAGAATGTTGGGCTGGAGTAGCCCAGATGTGCTGTTATTAGGCTTGGTAATTATTTATTGCGTAATGCTATAAACAATGTATGCAATTAAGGCTAATTATACCTAAAGTGCCGCCTGTAAAACTTGTGCACAGTGATGTGAGCCGCGCTGCATGAACAGTCTGTGAGACAGCTTCTTTTCTTTCTCCCTCCCAGCGCCGGAGTCAGAGAAAAACACCGTGGTGGAAGGAGGAGAGGTTCGTTTCAACGGGAAAGGCAAAAAGATCCGCAAACCCCGGACCATCTACTCCAGCCTCCAGCTGCAGGCTCTGAACAGGAGGTTCCAGCAAACTCAGTATCTGGCTCTGCCGGAGAGAGCCGAGCTCGCCGCGTCCCTGGGGCTCACGCAGACACAGGCATGTGCTCGGCTTTTACGCGTTGTCCGTAAAGGAATTCGATTTTATAAACGAGTCGACAAACCTGCCATATTTACGCAGCGATTCATTCTTAAATGTTTTATTTATATCATCTTAGCGTGTTCTTTTTGAAATCTCTATACAACACGGGCCCGCAATCAAGGGTTGCATCTGTTTGGGGGAAGTATTTGGAAACGTAAAAGTTCGCGATGACGTTCCTGTATTTAAAGAGAATTAGAAACGATTCGAGATGTTGTCGCTCTCTCTGACTTGCCTTGCCTTTATTTCTAGGTGAAGATCTGGTTTCAGAATAAACGCTCCAAGTTTAAGAAACTGATTAAGCAAGGCGGTGGAACAATAGACGCGAACGCTTTGGCAAACGCGCTGTCCACCGGGTCTCCATCCGTGGCGCCCGTCTGGAACTCAACAGCCAGCGTCAAAACATCCACACCGACCTCGTATATTCCCAGTTACACCTCATGGTATCCCACAGCACACCAGGACACTATGCAGCAGCCGCAACTCATGTGAACCAGGACTGCTGAAACAACCCCGCCCCTCTTTCCGCCAGTGGCCCAGTTCAGGGGACCCGACACAAGGCCGGTCACTCTGCGGCCCTCCGCAGCACAGACCAGATGTGATCCGGAGACACACTCAAAAAGACACCTGCTGACACACTGGCCAGCGTGGACTGAGCGAGGGTCGTCTGCACCAGAGAGGAAACAAGTCTCTTTTTGAATCGAAGGGAATGCCGGGAAAGTGGGTCAAATCAAAGCTGCTCTCCCCCTTTCAGTGACTTTTTTTGTTGTGTAAAAAACCCCCCAAAAAAACCCTGAAACTGTACCTAGTCAGAAGTGTATTTCAGTTTCTGCACATTTGTAATTTTCCGTAAGAAAATTGGAATTACCGGTTTGTCCATCCACAACACAGTGCTGGTTTACGGGCTGCGAGAGCGACATGAACATCACACATTTCCAAAAGCTCGGCGTCGGGCTCATACAGTCGCTTCGCCGCGGCGCGGTGAATGCGTAAAAGCTGGGAGAAATCACACCGTGAGCAAGTATGAGTTTCCCCATTTTAAAGGGAACAAAGAAATCTTTAAACAAAGTTATTTTGTATGTATGGCGTTTTGTGTTTATTTAAATATAACTTATTTAGAATTTTGCTTTTTTTTTTAAATCTGCGTTTGTCGGCACGCTGCGAGAATGTTGGACTGGAGTAGCCCAGATGTGCTGTTATTAGGCTTGGTAATTATTTATTGCGTAATGCTATAAACAATGTATGCAATTAAGGCTAATTATACCTAAAGTGCCGCCTGTAAAACTTGTGCACAGTGATGTGAGCCGCGCTGCATGAACAGTCTGTGAGACAGCTTCTTTTCTTTCTCCCTCCCAGCGCCGGAGTCAGAGAAAAACACCGTGGTGGAAGGAGGAGAGGTTCGTTTCAACGGGAAAGGCAAAAAGATCCGCAAACCCCGGACCATCTACTCCAGCCTCCAGCTGCAGGCTCTGAACAGGAGGTTCCAGCAAACTCAGTATCTGGCTCTGCCGGAGAGAGCCGAGCTCGCCGCGTCCCTGGGGCTCACGCAGACACAGGCATGTGCTCGGCTTTTACGCGTTGTCCGTAAAGGAATTCGATTTTATAAACGAGTCGACAAACCTGCCATATTTACGCAGCGATTCATTCTTAAATGTTTTATTTATATCATCTTAGCGTGTTCTTTTTGAAATCTCTATACAACACGGGCCCGCAATCAAGGGTTGCATCTGTTTGGGGGAAGTATTTGGAAACGTAAAAGTTCGCGATGACGTTCCTGTATTTAAAGAGAATTAGAAACGATTCGAGATGTTGTCGCTCTCTCTGACTTGCCTTGCCTTTATTTCTAGGTGAAGATCTGGTTTCAGAATAAACGCTCCAAGTTTAAGAAACTGATTAAGCAAGGCGGTGGAACAATAGACGCGAACGCTTTGGCAAACGCGCTGTCCACCGGGTCTCCATCCGTGGCGCCCGTCTGGAACTCAACAGCCAGCGTCAAAACATCCACACCGACCTCGTATATTCCCAGTTACACCTCATGGTATCCCACAGCACACCAGGACACTATGCAGCAGCCGCAACTCATGTGAACCAGGACTGCTGAAACAACCCCGCCCCTCTTTCCGCCAGTGGCCCAGTTCAGGGGACCCGACACAAGGCCGGTCACTCTGCGGCCCTCCGCAGCACAGACCAGATGTGATCCGGAGACACACTCAAAAAGACACCTGCTGACACACTGGCCAGCGTGGACTGAGCGAGGGTCGTCTGCACCAGAGAGGAAACAAGTCTCTTTTTGAATCGAAGGGAATGCCGGGAAAGTGGGTCAAATCAAAGCTGCTCTCCCCCTTTCAGTGACTTTTTTTGTTGTGTAAAAAACCCCCCAAAAAAACCCTGAAACTGTACCTAGTCAGAAGTGTATTTCAGTTTCTGCACATTTGTAATTTTCCGTAAGAAAATTGGAATTACCGGTTTGTCCATCCACAACACAGTGCTGGTTTACGGGCTGCGAGAGCGACATGAACATCACACATTTCCAAAAGCTCGGCGTCGGGCTCATACAGTCGCTTCGCCGCGGCGCGGTGAATGCGTAAAAGCTGGGAGAAATCACACCGTGAGCAAGTATGAGTTTCCCCATTTTAAAGGGAACAAAGAAATCTTTAAACAAAGTTATTTTGTATGTATGGCGTTTTGTGTTTATTTAAATATAACTTATTTAGAATTTTGCTTTTTTTTTTAAATCTGTTTGTATGTTTTATTTAAAATAAATGTCCTTTAAATTATGATGAGAGGCTGCACTATAAAATAGAAACACTTCCCTCGAATTTGAACCCAATTTGTAAAGCCGAGTGTTTTTAGATAAACGCGTCTATCATCACGGTTAGATGGGAAGTGTTGACAGCTTTTTTTTAAATCTGTTTGTATGTTTTATTTAAAATAAATGTCCTTTAAATTATGATGAGAGGCTGCACTATAAAATAGAAACACTTCCCTCGAATTTGAACCCAATTTGTAAAGCCGAGTGTTTTTAGATAAACGCGTCTATCATCACGGTTAGATGGGAAGTGTTGACAGCTCTAATGTACAGAAATAGTCGTTTTCGTTGTGTGCTGAATAATTTGTGCAGAAGGATCTAAACATGATTGTGTTGATTAAAATTCATGTGTTTTTTTTTTCCGTTTCACATTGAAAAATAGTTTTATAGCTTATGCCAGACACGTTAATTTATTGTTTTTGTTTCATGGAGTCTTGTATAATGTGTAAACTCGAACAGTAAAAATCTGCTTATGAAAGAAGTAACAAATGTCATCGCAACGTTTATTGCTTTGCCAAAAATGAATGAAACTCAGGTAACTGATGACAACTGAATACAATGAACCAATGCAAAAAGCCAACCTGTTTTGTAAAATAAAATCTCAATATTTAGCAAACTTGTTTTAATATCCAAACTGATTTGTTGTCTACAGATAGCGCGCTTTTCAAACATAATAAAAAGCATTTTGATCATAAAAAAAAAATATATATATATATTTTTTTTATGAATTGTGTTTGGACATTCGAGTCCGTACAGATATTAAATTAGCGAAAACTTGTTCAAAAATCTTCATATTTTTTTGTCTTGCAAAATTTGGCCGTCTTGTGTCTTTTTTAATGACACCTCTAGCTTTTCACTGCATTCTGAACCGCCGATTAATCGTGTGGTGGTTTCTGTAACACAGTAATTCCTCCGATAATAAGGGCACTTGTTTCTTTTCACTTTCGTTTAGCCGCTATAAGCTCTTTTCTGCTCTTGTGTGGCTGCTTTTGAAGGCCGTGTGTTAAGTGAATAATCGGGCAGGTGCCGCTCATGGAGGGACAGATGAAGAAAGACTGGGGCTGGGAGGGGGGCAAATGCAGATAGGTAAAGAATGACATGTTCAAAGTGTCTTTTGTTTGGGGCTGATGCTTTAACTGCGCATTTTAAGAAAATTCTGATGCAGAAAGCATCAATGCGAATGATATTTCCTGTAATATCCAGATGGCTATTCTTTTGTTCCTTCCTGGATATAGGCCTATTCGTTGGATTCTACCCCCTTGCCTTGATATTGTAATTTGCTTGTTTATTATTAATTCTAGTATTGATTAAATGAAGAATGATACAAATGTAGGGTCAAAATTAGATTTCAACAATTACATTTGAACACATCAGCATTCTCAAATGCATACAAAGAGAAAGTGAGATATAAGAAATACTATGATTTGGCATTGCATCTGCTGTTGGGAGTATTGAGTTCTTACCATTGCAGTAGGTGCTGGGGGTGCGGCAATTATTGGGACAAATTTAGACACTCTTCATGTGTGGTCTTTAAAAATGGCCTGGTCAAAGCAGGAAATGGCCCCGCGCGCTCTGATCACAAGCTCAATGCTCCAGCAATTATCTCTGACTTCACTAATAGTGCTCCAGACTTATATACATATATTACATACATATATATATATATATATATATTTACAGTCTCTGTCGTGGAATCAGGTCATAGATCACAATGTTTATTAATTCGTATTATGTTTTTGATGCTGTGTCCATTTTACTGTGTCCATTAAATCTGTTTATTTCTCTCTCGGCGATTTCCAGCTGTCTGGCTCATTTTCAGAATACGGATAAACGACGTCTATCCTCTCGCTGAACGTTTGTTAAAGATTGGCTAATAATGATATAAATCATTGCAATAACTTGTATGGCAGATCTGACGAGTGTTACAAAAAAAATTTAAATTTAAAATATTTCTATATATATATATATTCCGAACACAAGGAATGAACGAAGAAGCCGTGTTGTTCTGTCTCTGTCTCCGACATGCAGCTGTGGAGCAGAGAGGGTCAGCGTTATTTCACTCTATTCTCCTCTTGATTACGCGCCGGGCCCATCAAACCAGACATAATTACAGTCATTCCCTCCTTACTTATTCTAATGCAGCTTCCCATCTACGGGATAATTATGAGCAATTTTTTTTCGCATGTGGAATCTTTTGTTAACAAAAGAGATAGCGCACTGAAAGAAAATTTGCTGTGCGATGGGGGAGAAAAGAAAAGGAAAAAAAAGAGAAGTGAAATAGGTGCGCAGCGGTAGTTATAAGTAAGGCTGGCAAATTGCTTGCAGGTGTATACCGAGAGATTTGTCAATGGGAAGAAGAGGGATCAAAATGAGCAAAAGCACAATGTCGGAGTGATGAAGGCAGAGGTGAAATTATAGAACAAGGGATGCTTTATTTTCGACTGCATTCTATAGACAAACTATCTCGCAATTTCAGACAGCTTTATTAATGAGGTACACCGCGTTAGTCTGATTCAAAGCAGCAAATGGTGTACTACATTTTGCTTTCTCCACATAACCGAATACGATTTTCCAGCGAGCGGCACGTTTTCAGGCGCAAGATTTCGTTCAAATTAACTAGTAGTAGGCTAGTATTCGCTTAGTGACAACGTTTTTATTGCTACTTTTTGAAGAATGCTATACTGCGATATTTATATAATGCTACATAACACATAATAGCCTACTATTTTGCCCAGATGCAAAGCAAGCGTTTCAAACCACTTCGTTTCACTTATTATGCTGCCTCATAATACGCGTAATAACGTACGCAAAGCCTCCAAAAAATTAATAAAATGTGTGTAAAATGAACGCGCATCCTTCTTACCTTAATCTGCGATAAACGAGAACACAGAGACTGGCAGATCGTCTATAGTAGCTATAAGATGCCTGTCGGTCTTGAGAGAAGCAGAAGAATATGAAAAGAGCATCCAGCAGTCGTGGCATAGGTTCGGCTCTTTGGGTCCCCAAATCTGCCTCCTCTAGCTGGGCTCAGAGCTGACAGACGCTCTCCGAGCAGGAATGAAAAATCCTGCTTTATTTTCCCTCTTTATAGCTGATGGAAAAAAAATTGCTGATTATTAGCATAAATGTTTACTCCTCATTACGCTGATGACATTGTGCACTCGAGATCTTGGTAATCTTTGGGAAAATTATGAGTAATTTTTAAAAATTTAAAGCAGCAGTTACCATGCAATTCAGGCTAATTTTGCGTAGGCTCCAAGCGGATATAATTATCGCGGAGTCAAGATGTTATGCTAAAAACTATGCATTGATATTACCATTTATTATGTACATACAACTTTGACAATGTTGATGCTTGAAATAGCTGGAAATTGTCTTGCACAAAAATTACAGTCCATATTAGGACATCTAAAATTGCGAAGAATTATATAGTAATTGCAGGCTTTCAGATCGGGGAGCCAGAATGCTCAACTGGAGCAATTGTGGATAAAATTACAGATCAGAGTATAAATTAGGGATGGGGTATGGCATTTTTCAAGTTGTCTACAGGATTCCGGAAGTGTCTAAAACCACAGCATTGCTAATCTTTCAGAGAGAACGGCACGCAGAGCATGTGCTTGCAGACAGCTCCTATACAATTTCACATTAATTTGCATTTGCAAGGTGTTACACTTGTCCACGTTGAACCACCTGAGTTGAGAGACCTAATCAATGTTAACACCGACTATGGCCATTTTTGTTTTTTGTTTTTTGCCACCGAGACAGCAAATATAGCTACATGCTGACAGAAACGGCGCAAACCCCGTTGTTGCATGTGGTTAAGTGTCTGGCACGCTCTGCGCTTGGAATATGGGTTAACATGATCTGGTTTGGTGCGCCACACTTGTTGTGATATTTCATTGTCCTTGATCGCGTTAAACCTTCCCAAGAACTTGTCTCAAGGGACGGACGGCGTGGGTAAACTGTTCTGCATTAACAGTGCGTAACTGAGGCTTCCAAAGGAAGCCGAGCGCTATTGGCGTGTTATTCCCGTTTCCTGTCGTGTTCATACCGTTGAACGGATAAAGTCTGGATCTTGTGGATCTCTGCGGGGCACATTTCAATACGGGCGTAGTCTTAGCCCGGGGCGACACACCATAACATCTTGTAATGTGGCAGTCACTGACAGGATACATCCTCATTACATGCGTCTGCTTTATAGCTTTTGAACCCTCAAATAAACAAGATTATTGTAACACGAAAAGCAACCCGTGTTTCCATATTTACTTTCTTTATTCCAAAAAGAGCAACGGGATATTGCCAAGTGTAGGGCAAGCATTTAACTTTATATTTGAGAAGTAAACTAGCTGTGACATTTGTCATACATAATTAATAATAGGCCTGCGCTGTAATAAATGCGTTCATGTTATAATAACATTTGAAATAGCATCTTCGTTTTTCTACTCGATTTTACGAGTATTTTCTTCAACAGTAATTTAATTCAAAGTTTAAAAAAAAAAGTACAAATCACTGTATGCTGTTGCTTTTGCAACACATTGATTTTACTTGACATTGTATTTGAGTAATAAAACATTTAGGATTTAGTCGGTTGTTTGTTTGTTTGACGCATTAAATGTGCATGCATCACTGCAGCAAAAGCTTCAGCATGTCGCTTTACTCAAATTCCCCTGTACGGAATTCGGCATTGCATTTTATACTAAGTTTCTAAACAAATAAACAAGTTTTCCTTTGTTTTATGGCGTGGGAAATTAATGTAGGCTACACGGCAGCCGAGTCCCTATTACAAAGGCCTTGCATTGTGCGTGGGGTAGTGGAAGTTGTGAGAAATGATTCCATGTTGTTTAGCTCGGGGCGTTTGTGAGGCTGCCTTTTTGGCTGCGCTGACTTCATAAAACGTCTGGAGCGCAGAGCTCTGACTCCAGAGAGTCTGAACCCAGCCGAACGCCTTCATGCCGGGGCGTGTTTGCGCGCTCATTCCCAGCCCGAGGCGCTTCTGTCGGGCTCCCCGAGCCTTTGTCTATAAGTTGTATGTCTCCAAAAAACGCAAGGAAAGTCAGACCAACTGCCTATAGGGAATTAAAAAATATATATACCGTTGTCCTGCTATTTTCGCAACCCGAAAAATGTTGCGTAAATCTCTAGACCTACTTATTGCAGAGTAAGACACACCTGTCACGTTAATCAACAAAAGGTACATTTGTGAGTTTTGTGTGAAACATTTACAAGACGTTGCATCGCGTCTCCAGCCAGACTTATTAAAGGCTAGAGACGCAGCTGGCGCCGAAGCAAATAAAGGAAGGCTTGGATAGATCTGCGAAAATAAATAAATACATAATACCCATGCCAACAATGAACTAAAGAGAGAATAAGCATTCATACGGAATCCCCAATGAATGGATACTTATAAAATGCATTCACATGAAAGGTTTTATTTAAATAAGTCTGAATCATTATAGTGGCAGAAATGTTCATTCGATTTTCAAAATAAATAATCAAAAACAAAGTAGCCTAGTCCAGAGAAAATACCCTTTTAAATGTGATCATGACTTTAGGACAATCAGTAGCTTGCGAGTGTTTTTCATTAGTGTTTTGTCCATACTATTTAAAACAGTGAGAACCCTATGTGATATCCAATACGAATGACAACATTATTAAATAGACGGACAGACAGACACCAGATTTACAACTTACCATACGCACTAAATATAAAACGAACAAAAAGTCTAAAAAAAAAAAGAAAAAAAGACAGGCGCATGAAACACATTTACGGTGGAAAGGGACAGTTAAGTTCTTTTCAAAAGGCACCGAACAGCTTCAGGTTGTGCTACATGTGCTCTTATACACCCTGCTGCAATATGCACTCCATTAATGTCCACATGAGTTCTCTAGGCTTTGGATAATAGTAGTTCACCGAACAACTGGTTTTAATCCACTGATGTACCACCCATAGAACAAAATAAATAAATACAAAAATAATTATAGCCTATATGTTTGATTCTTTAGTGTCTGCTTGTTGACGACATTGCATGAAAAGAAACAGCGTTGCGCCCAAAACGCACTGGCAATGATCAACGTGGCGAAGGTGAAGAGGTCTCACCATTCATACTGGAAAACAGGCCTAAAAGTCATTTGATGCAAGTTCACATAATGAATTCCCCGGTTTTTGTTCCGAGTCTGTCGAGTCAAAATATGGTCCCGGCGCTGACGGTCGTGTTGTGGTGATGTGGCGGCTGTAGATGGCTCGCAGAGTTCGTGGATGAGTACCAGGTGTAGTTTGTCAGAAATGAAGGGGTAGTCGTGTTCGGGGGGCTGCTGCTCTGGGACAAACCCGTGTTCACAGTGCTCATTCTCTGGCTGTGCGCGAAGTCCCAGGCCGCGCTGAGAGGCGGCGAATGGAGAGGTGGAGACTCGCTGGAGGCCACAAGCAGCTCGGGCGGGATTTCTCCACTTTTCCACAACTTCTTGAACTTGGAACGACGATTCTGAAACCAGATTTTTATCTGAAAAAAAAAAAATAAAAATAACAACAACTCAGCATATGTCAAGCAGCATTATACACATAATGGAACAACACTGCTGAATCATGTTTAACAAAAAAAATTATAATAATTCCAAATTTTATTTTTACATTTTATAACAGTTTTGTTCACTATTTGCTATAAATATTGTAAATAGTCTATTCTTATTCTTATTATTATTGAATACCAATTTGGTTACGTCAGAAATGAATGAGCATCTTATTATATTAAACAAAATCATAATTAAAGCGTATTTGTCGGCAGGTAGTTGTAGAAAGCCTCTATGCGTACCTGTGTTTGCGTGAGGCCCAGAGAAGCGGCTAGCTCAGCTCTCTCCGGCAAGGCCAGGTACTGAGTCTTCTGAAACCTCCTCAGCAGGGCCGCCATCTGGAAACTCGAGTAAATAGTTCGAGGTTTTCTGACTTTCTTTGGCTTTCCATTAACCATTCGAATTGCAGGTTCACTTTCCTCTTTTTCTGGGAGAGAAAACAAACAAACGTGGTTGTGTGAACTGTCTCACGAAAACGAATCTTTTAATGCAATGCAATAATGAAAAACTATATTTCAGGTTTCAGATATTTTATACTGTTATTATTAATTACAATAGCATGCGCAATTAAAAGAATCTCATCGACATAATGACTTATGCATTGCAAGAAACGTTGTTCTTTGCTATTGCTTACTTAACATTAGCATTTTAAGGTCTACGGTGACCACAAGTTACAACGCAAAGTGAGCAAGATACAGATATTTACCAGCATCCGCAGGAGTTGGTGAGGAGCTGGGGCCGAACGTGCCGTAGGGGCCAAACGCGTTGCCGAAGCCCAGCTCATATGATTTGGTGTCGTACTGGACGCTGTTCATGCTGTTGTTCTGGTACTGGTAAGAGCTGATCTGGCCGTATGGAGAGCCTGCGCATAGCCCAGCCTGCTGGTTATTGTTATAGTAGCTGCTGTCGGTAGCGGTGGAGACCGGAAGAGTCGGGGATTCCTGGGATTTGTGCAGACTGTGGTAACTGCTGGAGGTAATCTGGTTTGAATGCATATCTGTACTGAGGCTGTCAAAAACTCCAGTCATGTTTTTCAAAGCTCAAAAATACTTACATGCAAGTCCAACGAATGAGCAAACCCGCAAACCCATAAAAGCTCTTCTAAAGCGCAAAACGAAATGCGGTGTCTGAGTTATGTCGCACTCCACTTCGGAAGCATCCAAACGCAGACGCGACGCAGAACTGTGATCGTCTGTCAGCAGAGATGCGGGAGGACGGACATTTATCGCGCGTCACGGGGGAGGATGAACTTGTGCGCGTGAAGCAGCCAATGAATGCAGGATCCACACAGCTCACACACGCATGCATGCTCATGAAATGTGTGCATTCTGCACGGGGACGGTTAACTACTCTGTGCTACATGAAAACACACTTTGTAGCTTTTTCTTTAATTATACTGACAAACATTTTTACACATAATGCTTGACATGTGATTCAATTAGAACCGTCATGAAACGTGATTCATACTTCACGTAGCCTATAGGTCTATATTCTGAATACTGAATAGGCTTCTTCTGTAAAATAGTATAACTGTTGTTTTATTTTTAAACGCTTTATCCAACACGCACAGTTGGCTGCGTACGCAAATGGTACTGCAAAATGTGCACTTCCATTGTATTTGCTTTCCAGCAGTTACCCGGTTTTGCGCGTTAAAGGTAGCCTATCTCTGCGTAACGCTTCAGATAGGCTACCTTTAACGCGCAAAACCGGGTAACTGCTGGAAAGCAAATACAATGGAAGTGCACATTTTGCAGTGTTTCTTCTTAAAATAGAGAGATTATTTCAACCTAGGAATTAGACTTTTGACTTCAGATTTGTTCAGGTTTTAGACAACACTAAGGAACTGCTCGTTTCAGCATGGTATGTGTGGCATCCTGACCTGCTGCGACACCTGTCGGTGAAAATACCACATTTTTTCTGTGTTTACTGCTGTTGTCCTGTTAAACCTCATTCTAAAAATAAAGTATCTCATTGATTGAGAGAATATGGCTAAATAAAGTGTCCAGCTAATGTAGAAAGTAGCAGAATAATATATCGACGGTGAAATAAAGGCAGTCCATTGTGTCGGCTACCTTATCCTCCAGTTTATAAGGTTAACCTGCTGGCAGCATCTATGAGTTTGAGTATCACTCACTCACTCACTCACTCAATTCAATTCAATTAAGCTTTATTAGCATGACTGTGTTACACAATGTTGCCAAAGCATTAACATATACAGTATATAACAACAACATAAATAATAATAAATAACATCCTTCTAAATAAATGAAAAGATAAAGTAAGTCAGTATGGAGTTAATCATGTTTAACACCTAACATTGTGAATGGTTAATACATATTTAGCAGCTAGTGCAGCTGTGTTGTCATCTTCTCCAAGTAAAAAGGGCATTTTCTCAGTATCACTGAGTTCAGTAAATGATGGGATATCAGTGTGATATTTAGGACAGATCAGCAGAAAGTGTTTCTCGGTCTCTATTTGCTGTAGATCACAGTGTCTACAGATCCTCTGCTCTTGCTCTGTTCATGTTTGTCTATGTCTTCCTCTCTCTATTTCTAAATCATGGTTACTTAATCTGTATTTGGAGAGGATTTGTCTTTCTTTAAATGGTTTAATCAATAAATTATTGGCAAATTTAGTGGTTCTGTTCAGGGTTGAGTAGCATTGGAGTTTATTTTGGAGGTCAACGTGTATTTTTAGAGATTCATCATGAGTGTCTTTTAGATTTTTGTCAATGTCTTTAATAATGGCTTTGGGGTTGAAGCTGTAGTCAGTGAGGAGCTGGGTTTTCTGGACTAGCAGAAGAGCGAGCGTGTTTAGAGGATGAGATTCTGCTGAGGTTTCATTGGCAAGGAGGGCTTTATATCGGATTGAATCAGGATCAGATTGATGATCTCACTCACTCACTTTTTCACTCACTCTCTCACTCACCCACTCACCCTCTCACTCTCTCACTCACTCACTCAAGTCTGTATCTGGTCAACGTGCCTCTCAGTTTCTTATCTGACACTGTGTACAGATACTCTGCCGTACTGTACGCTCTCTTTAGGGCCAGATAGCATTGCACTTTACTCTGCTGTTGTGTTTGGGTTTTTCACTCTCTCACTCTCACTCACTCATTCAATCACTCACTCACTCACTCACTCACTCACTCACTCACTCACTCACTCACTCACTCACTCACTCACTCACTCACTCACTCACCATAGTCGCCTTTTCCAAACACTGTATCTAGCCGCTTGAAAAGCCTCATAGAGCAGGAGTAGAAATTCATCATTACATTTGAATTCAATGAAATGAATGAAATGTTTATTAATTAATACAATTTTAATAATTTAGTTACTGGCTGATTTGTGTGGGTAACCAAATAAAAAGCTGCACAAATAGCCTAAACTGTAGCATTATTGTTCCGTAAACTGTATAAATTGAACTCAGATGAAACAGAGATGTTATAGGCTATGCGGGAATTGTTAATGTGCCTTGCATTCTGGTAAAAAAAAAAATCCCTATATGAGGAAAATATATTTGCAAATATCGGCTTGGCAAGACTCCCCACGCCGTCTTCATCCTCTTCTCTGACTCTCTCCTGCAGTGCACTGTTGTGTAGCATTTCTGTCACCGTTATCACTTTAGGAAGGAAAGAGCAGGGCACAGCTCGATTGGTGAATGTCCCTGAAGCAGCTTCCACTTCCCGAGGCTATTGTGCTCTCCGCAGTACAGGCAACACGCTGAAACTAGCTATTGGTCAACTCGATATCCTTATTTGCAGGGTCACTCAAGGCCTCAGACTGGGTAATATGAATTTCTGAAAATGCAATTTTGAACAGCGAACGAAGCATTGTGTACGTATAAGTGTTCGTGTAAATGTAATACATTGTTCTGCATAAAATAATTACAAATATAAAAAATTATATTAAAAAACGTCGGCTACGTTACTTTGAATCATATGCCATTCATTTTACACAAGTAATATATATAGCACATTTCATACACACTGAATAGTTATTGAAAGAGCCTTTCGTATCAAAAAATAACATAAAAGGAAAAAATAAAATAAGTAAAATAATAAGTAAAAGTATAAATTTTAAAAAGTATAAGTATAAATAAAATGACAAATGGAAAATCAAATAATGTGTCCAATAATCAGTAGAAAATGGTCTCTTTTATGTTTTCCCAGATTTCATAATTTATAATCTTACACTCTAAAAAATGCTGGGTCAAAACAACCCAATAGCTGGGTTTGTCCCTTTTTAACCCAGCACGGGGTTATATTTAACCCAGCATTTTTTAGAGTGTATATGCAGTTATATAGGCTAAATACCTTTTTACCATTATATATCCACAGCAACAGATCAAAGTCTGAATTATATTTGAAAGTCGATGTGAGAGGCTACTACTACAAAAAAATGCTGGGTTAAATACAACCCAGTGCTGGGTAAAATAGGGACAAACCCAGCAATTGAGCTGTTTTGACCCAGCGGTATGAATAAATGTTTAACCCAACCTTCTGGTTAGTAAGCTGGGTCAAAACAACCCAATTGCTGGGTTTGTCCCTATTTTACCCAGCACTGGGTTGCATTTAACCCAGCATTTTTTAGAGTGTATATGCAGTTATATAGGCTAAATACCTTTTTACCATTATATATCCACAGCAACAGATCAAAGTCTGAATTATATTTGAAAGTCGATGTGAGAGGCTACTACTACACTCTAAAAAAATGCTGGGTTAAATACAACCCAGTGCTGGGTAAAATAGGGACAAACCCAGCAATTGAGCTGTTTTGACCCAGCAGTATGAATAAATGTTTAACCCAACCTTCTGGTTAGTAAGCTGGGTCAAAACAACCCAATTGCTGGGTTTGTCCCTATTTTACCCAGCACTGGGTTGCATTTAACCCAGCATTTTTTAGAGTGTAACGACTAATCCACCACCTTGATGTAATTTCTCAATCATTTGCCTTGCTTTATCGCTTACATCTGACCCACTAAAGACAGCAACAGACTGCCAAAGATCATTCAAATAGCAACATCGGCTCTACTGACAGTGTACGGTATCACATCCAGTGTAATGACCGCCAGAGGAGGCGAATTCATCCCACTAATCCTAACATTGAGAACACACCGCTCATGAATATTAAGTAGATCACGCAAAGTTCGCCCAGTAAGCTTGATTGGCTGAAAGGCAGGTGGTCAGACTCAGGCTACGGCATTTAGGATCCTGCTATTGCAAAGGCTAAACTCATCAGTAGCTACTATTAGGCTACTTAGATTACGTGCGTGGACTTTCTTGCAAATCAAGCAACGCGAGAATGACCTAATTAATATTCATGACCTATTCAGATGCAGACATTTCCTTGGACCATGGCAGCAGATGAGTAACAGGAGTGAGCCGGCAGGTGGCTCTGCTCTCCGCGCAATGAAAAGGCCAGCAGTGCCTTTTTTGCCGATTTCACAAAACTTTCTCTGCATGGCCTAATATGCATACGTATACGCTAAATGTTATTTCATGGTATACTAAATATGATAATAATTGTCAAACTTATTGTTTTGTGTATCTGCATGTCTTAAATCATTTGTATGGAAGCCTATTTATGTAACTGCACAACAGTCAGTCATCTGTGTGATGTTTCTACATCTTCTCATAGCCATACAAAGTAGAATGGATATAACAACAATAATAATTTGCTTCATAAGAATATGAATATAACTAGTCGTCTTTAAAGGAATAATCTGGTTTACAGTGAAGCAATAAATGAGGCCATAAAATCCTTACTGTCTCAGAATTATAACCACAAGAAGTAAACAATAGCCTATGATAACATGATTTAGTGTGATAAAATCACCTACTAACCTGCGTGTAAAAGTCTGTAACCTATATGTAACAAATGTGCAGCTCAAATAATACCCGAGTTTCAAGAAAAGTGTTTTTATAAAATTATTAGATTCACATTTCTGCCTCTAAACCCTCAAAAAAAAAAAAGAAAAAAAAAAAGTAATTCCATTCACTTCCATTGTAAGTGCCTCACTCTGTAAC